ACAATGTATTTGCTACTTGAGCTCACTAATATACTCAAAAACTACAGGTAGCAAGAATTGATAGGCTTGCCTGTACATTTTGACAGCCTAAAACGCCCCATCAGCAAATGCTGGTGCAAACCTACAACCCAATCAGAAACTGCAAATAGATGTACTAACTTTGAAAGCCTAAAGTGACCCACAAGCCACTAAAAAAAGGTCGACCATTTTGGTAGCTTTAGTTGCCTCATCAAATGCTGCCATAGAAATAGTTTCTTCTCTGGTCAGTTCCCCAACAACCTAGACAGAAACGTCAAGCAGCACATTCCAATATAGCCTATTCAAAAATGTACTTTATTTTCAATTGATTTAATCTGCCCTAAAATAAAATGACGCAGGAATCTGTATTTTTTAAATCGATAAAAGTATAGTTTTTTTTGCTGTATACTTAAACGTTTTAGAAAAATGCACATGATCTTTGTCCTTAATTTAAAATTAAAATAAATTGTTACATAAATTAATAGGATCACTATAACACAAGCTTTTTTTTTCAGTTGCCACACATTTTTGGTGAATGCAAACGTTGCTGTGCTCTTCATTAGAATTCACTCATTCCAGGTGTGCCCATCGCTGACAGAAGTCACGCTGCACCCAAAAGTGAATAAAGTCATAAATCAACTACGTGGAATGAGACAGACATTGAATATATACAGCTGAATTCAGCTGAGCTCTTTTCCATCTATTTCCATACTGTAGATGTATTAGAGCACATATGATTAATTGTCGCACACTGTCCCTAGAAACAATACGCAGAGAATCCTACCACTGGTGTTTTATAGGAAATATTACTTCAAACAAATCACTTACATACAGTTGCAGTAAAATATAACAAAAGATGTCTGTTCATTTTACAGAAGTAGCCTCATTCAAGAACATTTGTGATCGAGGACAGAATAGCAGACCAGCATAGGAGGGAAGAATTTCATTATTCATTTACAGACTGACAGCACAGTATCACACCGGGGCTTGTATGTTTGCCTCATGTTTGTACATATATAGGTCGTTATATTCAAAATGTGTCAATCTAATGCAAATAAATTCCTAAACGTAGGAACTTCTGCGTGCCATGGTAGAGATAAAGTGCCCACTTTAATGTGTGTGTGTACATTGATAATGAAATATGAATGCGTTAAAAGGCGTGCTTGTAGCTGGTCAGTTATCTAAGACTATAATGAACGTTTGGCGATTTGGATAACAAAACCAAAGAACAATAAGCTGGTTTCGTATAATACGCTTGAAGAAAAGTTTAATTAACATCACAGATGAAATAAAAGTTCAAGAAAAACCA